TCCAGGATGTGAACATCTTCATCCCTGAAAGAGTGACCGCTGGCCTGGAGATGAGTGTAGACCACAGAGTCCTGGCCTGATGATGTTGATCTTCTGTGCTGGGCCATCCTTTTGGCCAGTGGCTGTTTAGTTTCCCCGATGTAAGACTGATCACCCTCCTGACACTGAACAGCATACACAACATTACTCTGTTTGTGCCGGGGGACTGGATCTTTGGGATGAACCAGTCTTTGCCGTAATGATTTTGGGGTTTAAAAGCCACTGGGACGTTGTCACCCCCCTCTGTGACAAATTCAAGGAATGTTGCTTGTCTTTTAATTTAACCCAACTGATCGACTCCCCCACCAGATTAAATAAAAGCCATCCTGACAATTCCTCCATCTTAGACCTATTTCTAACTAATATGCCTCACAAATTCCCTGGTACAGGTGTATTCGCTGATCTCTTGAGTGATCATTGCGTGACAGCTGCTTTGAGAGATATTAAACTTCCACCTTCTAAGCCCAGATTAATTAAAAAAAGGGATCTGAAACATTTCTGTGAACAGTCATTCCTCTGGGATCTGTCTCACTTTGACTGGCATCGTATTCTGTTAACTGATGACGTGAACTCTGCTTGGAACTATTTTCATAGTAGTTTCATTTATTTTCTGAACTTACATGCTCCTTTTCATCAGTTCAGAATAAAGGGACGAGACAGCCCCTGGTTTACTCCAGAGCTAGCTGACCTCCTGCACAGGAGAGATCATCTTTGGGCTGCAGCGAGAAAATCTGACTCAGACACTGATTGGTTGAGTTTTCGACAGATGAGGAATAAATACACAACTGCTGTCAAAGCAGCAAAACACAACTTTTTCTTATCTCAGACCTCCAAAAATCTAAATGACCCTAACAGATTCTGGAAAACAATTAAATCTCTCTCAGGCACCCCCCAATCATCTGACCTCCCTTCACAACTTCTCATTAACTCTGTTCCTGTGTCAAATAAGCACGAGATCCTGAACTGTCTCAACAAACATTTTGTTGCTTCTGGTTCTTTATTTGACACAGTAACTAATGGAAAATCAGCCACTTCACTTAATAACCAAACTTCTACAAATCAAATCCCTCCTACAAGTCAATCCTCAGTTAATCACAGCTTCTCTTTTTCTCCATTCTCAGTCAGTGAGGTCAATAAACTGTTAAAAGATCTTGATCCTAAAAAATCTGCAGGTCCAGATGATCTTCCACCTTATTTCTTAAGGCTGGCTGCTCATATCATCACAGTCCCTGTGACCCACATCTTCAATCTCTCCATAAGACAAAACTCCATCCCAGACACTTGGAAAACAGCCTTTGTTCTTCTTTGCTGAAGGGAGGTGACCCCACCTCACTGAACAACTATCAACCAATCTCTAAACTCTGCATTTTAGCCAAGGTTCTAGAAAAACTGATAAACTCTCAAATCAAAAATTACCTGGACTCATTTAACATCTTACCTCCACATCAATCTGGTTTCAGGAAACAACACAGCACAACCACTGCTTCACTGAAGGTTCTTAATGACGTTGTTGAAGCACTGGATGCTAAGGATTATTGTGCTGCACTTTTCTTAGACCTGTCTAAAGATTCTGACACTGTGGATCATAACATCTTGTGTCATAAACTCTCAGAAATCAGTTTCTCAGATCACACCATTGGTTGGTTCTCTAACTATCTTTCAGACCGGAGGCAATGTGTTCAACATAATGGTACTTCCTCCAGTTATTTAACAGTCAACAATGGTGTACCACAAGGCTCAGTCTTAGGACCCACCCTCTTTACAATCTACATACATAATGTAGGTAAAAACATCCCTAATGCATCCATACATTTCTATGCTGACGACACAGTTGTTTATTGTCGAGCTAAAACAGTTGCTAAGGCTTTCCAGCTTCTGAAATCTGCATTTAACTACATCCAGACTGATTTGTTCCACCTCAAACTTGTCCTAAATGCCGAAAAAACCAAAAGGATGCTTTTTTCAAATAGGAAGTTGGTCCCAGCAGTTCTTCCTCCGATTTTATCCTCAAATGGTGTCCCCATTGAGTTTGTTGATTCCTATAAATATTTGGGTATCTTGGTTGACTCACATCTTTCTTTTAAGCTCCATGTGGAAAACTTGATAAAGAAACTGAAAGTTAAACTGGATTTCTTTTTCAGAAACAGATCCTGTCTAACTCTGAATGCTAGAAAACGCCTTGTATCTGTGACTTTCCTTCCCTCCATTGATTACGGTGACATTATTTACATGAACGCTCCTACAAGAACCCTGCAGATGTTGGATGCTGCAGATGTTGGATGCTGTCTATCATGGTGCACTAAGATTCATAACTGGCTGTGATTATCGTACCCACCACTGCACCCTGTATTCACTGGTTAACTGGACATCATTAACTTCACGCAGACTCTCTCACTGGTACATTTTCATCTTTAAATCACTTCTTGGTCTGCTGCCTTCATACATCTCCTCCTACATGTCTCTGCGTGAGTGCAGCTACAGCGTGCGCTCTCAGGACATTATTACCTGCAGTGTTCCCTCAGTGAGGACTGAACTAGGCAAAAGGGCCTTCTCCTACTCCGCTCCTGTCTCCTGGAATATCTTACAAAAAGATTTGAAGCTCTCGACCTTGACCTCTCTAAGTGGCTTTAAGAATCTGTTGGACTCCTGGCAGGGACCAATGCAGACATGTTCCTGTTTTTAGTTTTATACATTTGTCTTGGAATCTAGCTGTTTTTTGTTTTGTTACCTTTTTTCCTTTTAGCCATCCTATTTGTTAAAAAAAAAAAAAAAAAAAAAAAAACTGTAGTATGAGTTTTTATAACTGCTTATTGTTGTTGCTGTTGTCCATTGTTGTCATCTTTCTTTGTTGAAATCAGGTCTCTCTTGTAAATGAGTCCTCGAGGCTCAATGGGATTTACCTGTATAAATAAAGGTTGATTGATTGATTATGTTTAGAAAATAAACGTCTCAGTTTCTCTGATACTCCCTCAACATACGGAATGACCACTGGTCTGGGTCTGGGTTCCTCCTTTTCACCTGTTGGCTGACTGGAGTCCTGTTTGGGTTTCTTCTCTGCCTTCAGGAAGGCCCAGTTAGGATATCCACATTGCTCTAGAGCCTGTCTTGTGTGGGATTTCTCCTTCTGCCTGGCTCCTGAGCTAGTGGGGATGCTGTCTGCTCTGTGGTACAGAGTCCTGATGACTCCTAACTTGTGCTCCAAAGGGTGATGGGAGTCAAACTGCAAATACTGGTCTGTGTGGGTGGGTTTGCGGTACACCTCAGTAGGGAGTATCAGAGAAACTGGGACGTTTATTTTCTAAACATAACGTCCCAGTGGCTTTTAAACCCCAAAACACATTACGGCAAATACTGGTTCATCCCAAAGATTCAGTCCCCCGGCACAAACAGAATAATGTTGTGTATGCTGTTCAGTGTCAGGAGGGTGATCAGTCTTACATCGGGGAAACTAAACAGCCACTGGCCAAAAGGATGGTCCAGCACAGAAGATCAACATCATCAGGCCAGGACTCCGCGGTCTACACTCATCTCCAGGTCAGCGGTCACTCTTTCAAGGATGAAGATGTTCACATCCTGGACAGAGAGGAACGATGGTTTGAGAGAGGAGTAAAGGAGGCCATCTTTGTGAAAAGAAACCGTCCATCATTAAACAGGGGTGGAGGCCTCCAGGTTCAACTGTCCCCCTCTTACAATGCTGTGATTGCTAGTATCACTCAGCCCTCTGTGAACAGTAAACAGCCATCAGTGTGCTAATGATCCATTGTTAGGCTGATGGTCCTTCTTGAGCATGTGATCAGCTGGTTTTGGTTGTCAGCAGCAAACTGGTTGATCCACTCTGAGAAGGTGCTATTTAAGAGACTGAGCTGAATACAGCACCTCAGACTGAGGAAGTCTCTCGGATGAGAGACGAAAAGTTTCTACATTTTTTTGTTGTTTTGCTTTGTTTTGTTTTTTTGAGTGTCCAGAGGACCAGATTTAACTTTTTTAGATTTTTCTACCTGGATTATTGAGCATGCATCAGGACATCAATGAGTTGCTATTTATATTGATGCCAGGCCTCAGAATGAAGAAGTATTTCAGATGAAAGCCAAAATGTTTCTTGCAAAAAGAAACTGTCCAGATGACATGTGATTTTGGTCTACAGTACGCATGGCTTAAATAGTTTGACTGCAAACAACATGTTATAAAAACCAGAGGAGAGTGAACGCTGAGGCAGCTGCCACGCACCTGTAATGTTCCAGGTAGGTGTAGAGCAGGTACTGAAGGTTATGCTCGAGGCAGAACAGGATAACCACACTGTGGAAGTCCAGGCCCTGAGAGGAGCAGTACTGAGGAAGAGGAGGGGGTGAAGTCATCAGCCCCCTACCTTGAGCCAGCCTCCAGAACAGCTGCTCCAGGTCCGACATCTCATCAAGGATTAACATTCCTCTCCTGGAGAAAAACCACAACCAGATTTTTAAAACACAAGAGAACTTCTAAAATTATGCCTTTATTAATCGTTAATAACCATGATCTTATCGAACTATTGCCGTCTACTAAACCATAAGAGGAGGTTAGACCAGTTCCAGTACCTGGCCAGCAGGTCCAAGATGTTCTCCTTCATCAAGGTGCTGCACGCCATGTGGTTGTTCACCAGTTCTGGCGTTATCTCTGGCCAGCAGGAGGAGGTGGCTGTCCTCTGAGTCTGGATCCAGTCGACAGCCCGCTGCTGATCATGCAGGGCAGTCAGGTACCGCCACAACACTGCAGAGTCACAGCAACTCACCTCTGAAGGACAAGAACCAAAAAGTCATGCTCATCTGGTCGATCTGATGAAGATTAGAACAGTGGTTCTGACACTTTTCTGCTGTGGACCCACAAAATCAAAGCTGCAGAGACGCGTGACTTGGGACTATATTGTTGAAATACACAAAAATGACTAATAAACTATTTAACAATCATTTTTAAACTTAATTTATTTCTGTGGATCTTCTCAAAACCACACTTGATGCTTGATGACCCCAAGTTAGGGCTCAACATCAACTTGGGAACCACTGGAAAGCACCACAGAAGGGTTTGGTTCTGAATCAGTTCCTTACCTGTATGGTTCAGTCTGGATAAAAAAACGGACGTCTGGCAGCTCAGGTCCCAGTTCCTCACCCAGTCCAATCTGAGGTTCCTCCAGAGTTCTTCCTTCTCCTCAGGAATTCTGTGATCTAGCAGCTCCTTCAGAACCTCTTCACCACCTTCTTCATGGTTCAAGTGAGGAAACCTGAAAAGGTTTGAACCCTGAAGGTCAGAACAGAGATAGTATCCCTGTATCTGCATTGAAATGCCTTTTTTCCACCGCTCCTACTCTGCTCAGATCAGCTCTTTACACGTCACATTTCCACCACACTTCAGGACATGTTCTGGAGGCGTGTCCAGAATCCAAAATCCTGCTAATGAACTTTTAATGAACTTTAGTTCACCATTAAGAGTGAGAGTTCTGCGATGAGTTACACTCAAAGCAGTCTGCTCCTCAGATAAATAATGTTAAATAAATATTTTATATATGAATGTTTCTGTTCAGTGCCCTGAGACAACTTCTGTTGTCACTTGGCGCTATATAAATAAACTGAACTGAATTAAATCTGATGAACCAGATTCTACAAAAACATTTATATTTAAAATTCTATATTTTTCTTCATCATTTGATGTATTTGTACTCATTGTGTCTACTTTTATTGTTCAATTCAGATAAGTTGTTTTGTTTCTTGTATACAGATTTTATTTTAGCTTTGATTTAAAGTGTAATTCTTGTTTTGTGATTTGTACGTCTGTGGGTAAGAATAAAGTTGAGCCAAACGCTGTATCTCTTCTTTAAACATGTTTGAGGGAAATATTCTTGAGAGACCCAATAATTTTGTCTTTTTATGATTTTTCAGCTGAATTAACTTTAATTAACAGATTATTTAATTAAGTCAAAGTGAAAACAAGATTTCATGATAAAGCCGGCACCATGTTTTTATTTTTATTCTTCACTGATAAAAAAAACAAAACATTATTTTTTATACAGAAAATATATTAAAAAAAAAAACGTTTCCACCCTTCATCTCTGTACATCTGTCTGCCAGGGCTCGGAATCTGGCCTTTGTGCTTTAACGGGTTGGCAGCTCGTATGATCCTCCGTGGTGACTCCACTCACTCTGAATTTTGTCGTTGGTCACCAAACACAAAAAACACCTGCACTTCAGCATTAGAACATGGTGTTGTCATTATTGTTTTAAAAAATCTTAAAAATAGGTCCAGTCGCTGCTCCGAGTTCCGAGTAATTGCAAATGGCGGATCGGTGAAAAGTTTCTGAGAGATCCAGTGACTCCTCCCCCAGACCAGTCAGTGACCGATAGTGTTCTGACCAGGGGAGGATTGGCCATCGGGAGTACCAAGACATTTCCCGTTGGCCTGCCCCAGTCAGTGCCCGCCGAGGGACTGGACTTTACTGAAAGCTCGGTTCAGGTCACGCTTCATTATTTTAAATAAACAAGCTGGCCGCTCTTGCTCCGGACTCACAGGTGTCACTGAAGCTCCCCTGCCCATCCCTTCCCTCTCTGAGGCTGTGTCTGTCACAGAGTGAAGCTGACAGCCACCCACGTGAAAAATTCCAGCAAAAACAATGAGCGGTTAGTGCTTCCTTTAGGCAGAGACATGGAGACACACAGTTGTGTGCCTGGCCCGTGGACTCGCGTCTCGGCCTGATGATGTTGATCTTCTGTGATGGGCCAAACAGCAACATCATCAGGCCATCAGGACATTTCCTAGATATCAGGAAGAAGTGTCTTCCAGACACTGCCATGAGAGCTCAGCAAATGCCTGCTGGAAATTGATGGACGTGCCAGTGTTGACAGATTGCAGGCTGAACTGATCAGCTGTGCACAGATTAAAACAGTCACCATTGGATTACTACAACATCAGGACCACTGCTTCTAGCGATCAAACAGACAAATGCATGGAGGGCACTGATGAAAGTGTGGAGCCACAAGTAAAAACTGCCCAATATGCTGTTATATACTCCTTTCACAATACAATCTGCTCACTGATGCGTATCATATCATTGGTTTGGGCTACAAGTTCCTCCTCACACTATCCATCACTCAGGTTGCATGTGGTGCCTGGGGACTCTGGGTCGGGCCCTCCAATCTCTGGTGCTGAGGTCACCGAGGTGGTTAAAAAGCTCCTCGGTGGAAGGGCCCCAGGGGTGGATGAGATTCGCCCAGAGTTCCTTAAGGCTCTGGATGTTGTAGAGTTGTGTTGGCTTACGCGACTCGGCAATATTGCGTGGACATTGGGGTAAGTTCCCCTGGATTGGCAGACCGGGGTGGTGGTCCCCCTATTCAAAAAGGGGGACCATAGAGTGTGTTCCAACTACAGGGTATCATGCTCTTAAGCCTCCCTGGTAAGGACTATTCGGGGTTCTGGAGAGGAGGGTCCATTGGATGGTCGAACCTCGGATTCAGGAGCAGCAGTGCGGCTTTTGTCCTGGTCGTGGAACACTGGACCAGCTCTACACTACCAGCAGGGTCCTGGAGGGTGCGTGGGAGTTTGACCAACCGGTCTACATGTGCTTTGTGGACTTGGAGAAGGTGTTCGTCCGCGTCCCTCGGGGAACCCTGTGGGGGTTACTCTGGGAGTATGGGGTACCGGGCCCTCTGATACAGGCTGTTAGGTCCTCGTACGACCAGTGTCAGAGCCTGGTCCGCATTGCCGGCAATAAGTCGGGCTTGTTCCCGGTGAAAGGTGGACTCCGCCAAGGTTGCCCTTTGTCACCAATTCTGTTCATAACTTTTATGGACAGAATTTCTAGACACAGCCAAGATGTTGAGGGGATCCGTTTTGGTGGCCTTAGGATTGCGTCTCTGCATTTTGCAGATGATGTAGTCCTATTGGCTTCATCAGATCGTGATCTACAGCCTTCGCTGGAGTGGTTCGCAGCTGAGTGCGGCACGGCCGGGATGAATATCAGTTCCTCCAAATCCGAGGCCATGGTATTGAGCTGGAAAAGGGTAGAGTGCTGTAACCGGGTCAGGGAGGAGGTCCTGCCCCAAGTGGAGGAGTTGAAGTATCTTGGGGTCTTGTTCATGAATGAGGGAAAAATGGAGCGTGAGATTGATAGGCGGATAGTTGCAGCGTCTGTAGTGAAGCGGGCGCTGTACCGGTCTGTCGTGGTGAAGAGAGAGCTGAGTCAAAAGGCGAGGCTCTCAATTTACTGATCGACCTACGTTTCTACCCTCATCTATGGTCATGAGCTAAGGGTTGTGACAAAAAAAACGAGATCTCCAATTACAAGCGGCCAAAATGAGTTTTCTCCGCAGGGTGTCTGGGTTCTCCATTAGAGATAGGGTGAGAAGCTTGATCATCTGGGAGGGACTCAGAGAAGAGCCGCTGTTTCTCCACGTCAAGAGGAGCCAGTTGAGGTGGCTCGGGCATCTGGTTAGGAAGCCTCCTGGACGCCTCTCTGGTGAGGTGTTCCGGACACGTCCCACCGGGAGGAGACCCAGAGGAAGACCCAGGACACACTGGAGGGGAGTGGTGGCGCAGAGGTTAGAAGATGGGACTGTGATTGGAAAGTCACAGGTTCAACTCCCGGTACCGTCAACATAAAAAATGTGGGTGGAATTGGTGGAACATCCACACCTGCCTCCACCCTCATTTGCCCCACTCTGGACCCCTGAGCAAGGCCCTTAACCCCCAACATCTGCTCCCTAAACAGGTCTCTCTTGAAAATGAGATATCATGGCTCAATGGGACTACCTGTATAAATAAAGGACAAATGAAAAAAAAAGCTTCTCGGCTGGCCTGGGAACACCTCGGGATTCCCCCGGAGGAGCTGGCTCAAGTGGCTGGGGAGAGGGAAGTCTGGGCCTCCCTACTTAAGCTGCTATCCCCGCGACCCAACCCCGGATAAGTGGAAGAAAATGGATGGATGGATGAGGTTGCATGTGAGAGGACCTTCTCCATCCTGAAGTTGGTGGAAAAACTGCCTAAGAACCTTCCTCAGTCAAGAGAAACTTGAAGCACTAACCACTTGCTCTTGCCGAGATTGGATGCTTCTCCCCTCCCTCTCTGCTTTGCTTTGCTGCTCTGTCTGTCTGTGAAACTGCTTGTGAGACTCTCTTGCATTTCTTCTGAACCATAATTATGGACTTTTTGATCAGTTGGTCCCTCAACTCAATTTACAACATTTCTTTGAAGAGAAGACAGGCTTTAGGTGAGTCAATTTGCCCTGTTGGCACGCACGCAGCTGGATATCTCATCGACTTGGAAGACTTGATGATGTGTCTATCTCTGCTGCCATTTGTGGATTTTAAGGACATACTTAATTGGATTTTCGATAACTGGTTCCTGCTTTTTTGGATTCGGCTGGTTGCTGGTTTTATCAATCGATCAAGGAAGTCTTCGGCAGCAAATTTGGACCTAATCACGCTGCTTGCCTTTATGATGGCTTGGTTCGAGTCTCGAGTACCTGGACTCAAATGCTTTGGGCAGAATGGATCAGATCTTGGGGATTTTACTCAGTCACGTTCCATTGGTGTGGCCATGCATTTTGGACATTTTGGAACAGAGTGAACCAACACAGACTCAAGGTAGATGTCATTAAGTTCTGCCTGTCCCCAAAACAACTGTGTGTTTATCTGAATTTGGCTCCCTTGGCTGGTCTTGAAGGCCATCTTATCTGAATTTGCCTGGAGAAAATGTGATCTGACGCTCACCGCCCCCTCCCTGAGGAATTTCCAACTGATAACAAGATGAAACCAGCTGAATAAACTTTGTGTTATCATTTCAGAACTCTTGGATTCTCAGACGTTATTCTTGGCCATTCCTCGACATACCTCGAGAATGTTTATGGATCTCACCGGAGGACATTGACTGATTATTCCATCCTTAACAGAACTCTAACAGTGACCTCGAGAGAATCTAGGAACATGCTCACCACTCCCCCCCCCCCCCCCTGCAGAATGTCTATGTCACTATGTGCTTGCTTGTGCGAGGTGTTTTTTTAATATTATTTTTTTTTTCCTCAGGCAAGAAAAAAAAGTCTGATAGGAATTGTTTCACCTCCAACTCCTACATGTGTCCATTTGACCACTTTTTTGTCTGTCCAAACAGGTCTCACTTGTAAATGGGTCTTTGAGGCTCAATGTGATTTATCTGTTTAAATAAAGGTTGAATGAATGAATTTCTTTGGATGGCAACAGAGAAAGAGGTTCTGATGGAAATGGACCAAGAGGATATTATTGGTAGAATAGCTGAGAGTGGTGATCACCTGTGGCACCTGCTTGTGTACTGGTAGTAGTGGTGAAAACTGGTTCTTATTAAAAAGAGGGACATATCTGATTGGCAGGCCACAGACTGATAAAGTCTTCCAAATGGAAGACAAAATATTTCTCCCTTAAAGAAACTGGTCCACATGAAATGATTCAACCTTTTTTGTGGTTCTTATGAAGTTTTTATTTTTTTTATTACAAAATGAGTAAAAAAAGTTTAAATAAAATATTTGTTTAATGTGATTGAAAATAAACCGACATCTATATTTTGTGCAGACTTTTTCAATCTAAATAACAGAAGGATCTTTTTTATTTTTGCACTTTTAGACTGAATACTTTACTAAATTAATTAATTGCAGTAAAATTAACCTTTTTATATATATATATATATAATGCTGCAAAGCAACATGTTAAATTATTTTTTCAAATGAATAACTATGATTTTTTTTGTTATATCACAATTTTTTTTTTCAGCTGAGGCGGCTGTCTAAGCTGAAGCCCATATTGTCCAAAAATAATCTTGAGATGGTGATCCATGCATTCATAAAATCCAGGCTTGATTACTGCAATGCACTTCTGTTTGGAATCAATCAATCCTCCATTGCACGTCTACAACTGGTCCAAAATGCTGCAGCCTGATTTTTAACTGGTACAGGCCATAGAGAGCACATTACTCCAGTTTTGGCCTCCCTGCACTGGCTACCCATTCACCTTCAGATCCAGTTCAAAATACTCATGTATGTTTTTAAATCACTGAACAGTTCTGCCCCATTTTATCTCACTGAACTTCTGGAGCCATATGTCCCACCGCGCTCTCTGAGGTCAGCAGACCAGATGTTTCTTTCAATTCCAGGAACCCGTCGTAAGCTCAGAGGTGACAGGGCTTTCTCTGTTGCAGGTCCAAGACTGTGGAATGAGTTGCCACTGCGTGTCAGGCAGGCTTCCACACTCACTGTTTTTAAGTCTCGCCTGAAAACCCACTTTTATTCCCTTGCCTTTGACACGGTGTGATTTGTTTTGATCCTGTCTGTAGTCTACAGTGTTGACCATTTAGTTATTATCCACTGCTGTTTGTATCTATATTTTTATTTTATGTTTTCCTGTCCACTGTGCTTGTTTGTTTCTATTGTACAGCACTTTGGTTGGCCTTGTTGCCGTTTTAAGTGCTCTATAAATAAATTGGTATGGTATGGTAAAATTTATCGTTATTGTCAGAAATATCACAATATTATATTTGAGCCATATCGATCACCCCTACCCTGAACATGGTCCATTCAGACTCCATGTTCCCAACCTCCCCTGGTCCAAAAACGTCTTCTGGTGGTGTGAGCTGAAGATCTCAGATTAGCTAAATCAGCCCCAGGTGGGGATCAGCTGACAGCTTTGCACCTCTCATCACCTGTGTCCAAGCTGTGGGGCTGCTGGTCTGATGGATCATCAACCTTTGGTCTGAGGCCTGGTCCAAAGTCCACTTATGGACCAGCCTCTTCTGGAACAGGGTGTTTATTCTGAATGAGCCATGTTTAGCACAGCAGTCCAAAAACAACCCAGCTTGAGTTCAGACCTGGGATGCTGCTCTTCCCAATTTCCCCGTCCAGGTAACTTCATCATTGTCCACATAAGCAGTGAAGTCACCCTGAAGAACTACAGAGTCCCCAGTTTCTGCAGTTCATCCATACAAGAAGTAATCTGAACCCTTGCACAGTCCACAAACAGTCAGGATCTTTCAGTCACTGAAGAAGTCTTTCAGATGAAAGACGAAATATTTCTACTATTTTTTTGTTTGTTTTTTGAACCCATCCAGAGGACCTGACTTAATTTTTTTTAGATTTTTCTACCTGGATTATTGAGCATTGTAGGATAATATATGTACAGGATATGGGACTTCTGGTCCGGTCAAACTCCTATCCTTTAACAGGTATTTAAGCTCAAGTACTCTGGACCGGCCTCGCCTCAAACACATATAAACCATGAGTTCTTGTAGCGAACTTAATTCCTGTCCCTCGAAAAAAACACAAAGAATATTGAGAATATGACCCAATAATATTGTTTTACAGAGTAAATGACATACATCTGAGGACTTTGAGAAGGAGATTTGATACAATTTGGACTAAGGTCTAGCTCTTAATGTTAAAATTTAGGTAAGTTTATCTCAGATTCATGAATTAAATTATCTAAACAAACTTAGTTGGCACTGTTTCATGGTCCTCTCATCAGAAGGAAGATGTTCATCTCTCATTACTACAGCGACTGCATGAAGGAAGCTGGTGGCCCGCTGCCCCAAGAAGGATGTCGTTTTTCAGGGCTGCAGTCCGTTCAGCTCATACCTTTAGCTCCAGGGTGTTCGAGGGTTTTCAGATGTCCAACATCTCTCACCTGGACATGTCTTCCAACATACCTGTTGTTCGGAGAGCCTCTTTTCAACTGCCCTCTGCTATGTGGAAAACAACCACTCATTCCCACTGCTCAGGTTGGCTCAGAGCCAACTTTCCTCGTCGGCTGCCGTCTCACAGCTCACGGTGTTCAGTATATCTGGCACCAGGAAGACGGGCCCCTTAACTTTTAACCAATCAGAGGGCTTCTTGCAGTAGGAGTATCCCACTGTATAATTAAGGTACAAACCGGATTCCAAAGAAGTTGGGACACTAAACAAATTGTGAATAAAAACTGAATGTAATGATGTGGAGATGGAAAATGTCAATATTTAATTCGTAATATAATATAGATGACAGATCAAAAGATTAATCTGAGTAAATGTAGCATTTTAAAGGAAAAATAGGTTGATTCAAAATTTCACAGTGTCAACAAATCCCCCAAAAATTGGGACAAGTAGCAATAAGTGGCTGGAAAAGGGAAATTGAGCATATAACAAACTGCTGGAAGACCAATTAACACTAATTAGGTCAATTGAAAACATGATTGGGTATTAAAAGAGCTACTCAGAGTGGCAGTGTCTCTCAGAAGCCAAAATGATAAGAGGATCACCAATTCCACAATTGTTGCGCAGAAAGATAGTGCAGCAATACCAGAATGGTGTTACCCAGCGTAAAATAGCAAAGACTTATAAGTTATCATCATCAACCGTGCATAATATCATCAAAAGATTTAGAGAATCTGGAAAAATCATTGTGCGTAAGGGTCAAGGCCGTAAAACTCTACTGGATGCTCGTAATCTCCGGGCCCTTAAACGTCACTGCACCTCAAACAGGAATGCCACTGTCCATTTAAAATGGAGTGTGGCAAAATGGAAGACTGTTCTGTGGTCAGATGAGTCACGATTTGAAGTTCTTTATGGAACACTGGGACGCCATGTCATCCAGACCAGAGAAGACAAGGATAGCCCAAGTTGTTATCAACGCTCTGTTCAGAAGCCTGCATCACTGATGGTATGGGGTTGCATGAGCACTTGTGGCATGGGCAGCTTGCATGACTGGAAAGGCACCATTAATGCAGAAAACTATATTCAGGTTCTAGAGCAACATATGCTCCCATCTAGACGTCATCTCTTTCAGGGAAGACCCTGCATTTTTCAACACGATAATGCCAGACCACATTCTGCAGCAATCACAACATCATGGCTACGTAGGAGAAGGATCCGGGTACTGAAACGGCCAGCCTGCAGTCCACATCTTTCACCTATAGAGAACATTTGGCGCATCATAAAGAGGAAGGTGCGACAAAGAAGGCCCAAGACGATTGAACAGTTAGAGGCCTATATTAGACATGAATGGGAGAGCATTCCTATTTCTAAACTTGAGAAACTGGTCTCCTCTGTCCCCAGACGTCTGTTGAGTGTTGTAAGAAGAAGGGGGGATGCCACACAGTGGTAAAAATGGACTTTCCCAACTTTTTGGGGATTTGTTGACACCATGAAATTTGGAAACAACAGATTTTTCCCTTAAAATGATACATTCTCTCAGTTTAAACTTTTGATCTGTGATTTGTGTTCTATTCTGAATAAAATATTAGATGTTGGCCCCTCCACATCATTGCAATCAGTTTTTATTCACAATTTGTTTAGTGTCCCAACTTTTTTGGAATCCGGTTTGTATGAAACTTCCACCTTCTAAGCCCAAATTAATTCAAAAAAGGGATCTGAATCGGTTTTGTGAACAGTCATTCCTCTGGGATCTTCAGTGTTTCCCCTACCATTATATAGGCAGGGTGCCCCACCCCGTCAACAGAACTGAGCACCCCACCTACCAAACTGAACTTACCTCTCCCACCCCCACTCGACACTGACATAACCCTAAGCTAGCAGCACAAAATACAGGCTCTCTAGCTAAAAAGCCAAATGTAGCACTCACATTGCCTCTTCAATCATGTTGAAACCCCCCCCCCCCCCCAAAAACTTATAAAAAAAGCGGCGCACAAATAGCGTTTCCCCCCCCCCCCCCCCCCCATCAGCAAAAATCATGGATGAGATGACCACCCCGCCATGGCAAGCTAACTAGGGGAAACACTGATCTATCCCACTTTGACTGGCATTGTATTCTGTTAACTGACGACGTGAACTCCGCTTTGAACTATTTTCACAATAGTTTCATTTATTTTGTGAACAAACATGCTCCTTTTTGTCAGTTCAGAATAAAGGAACGAGACAGCCCCTGGTTTAATCCAGAGCTAGCTGACCTCCTACACAGGAGAGATCATCTTTGGGCCGTAGCGAGAAAATATGACTCAGACACTGATTGGTTGAGTTTTTGGCAGATGAGGAATAAATGCACAACAGCAGCAAAACACAACTATTTCTTATCACAGACCTTCAAAAATCTAAATGACCCTAACAGATTCTGGAAAACCATCAAATCTCTCTCAGGCACCCCCCAATCATCTGACCTCCCATCACAACTTCTCGTTAACTTTGTTCCTGTGTCAAATAAGCACGAGATCCTGAACTGTTTCAACAAACATTTTGTTGCTTCTAGTTCATTATTTAACACAGTCACTAATGGAAAATCAGCCATTTCCCCTAATAACCAAACTTCTACAAATCAAATCCCTCCTACAAGTCAATCCACAGTTAATCACACCTTCTCTTTTTCTCCATTCTCAGTCAGTGAGGTTAATAAACTGTTAAAAGATCTTGATCCTAAAAAATCTGCAGGACCAGATGAACTTCCACCTTATTTCTTAAAGCTGGCTGCTCATATCATCACAGTCCCTGTGACCCACATCTTCAATCTCTCCATAAGACAAAACTCCATTCCAGACGCTTGGAAAACAGCCTTTGTTCTTCCTTTGCTCAAGGGAGGTGACCCACCTCACTGAACAACTATCGACCAATCTCTAAACTCTGCATTTTAGCCAAGGTTCTAGAAAAACTGATAAACTCTCAAATCAAAAATTACCTGGACTCATTTAACATCTTACCTCGTCATCAATCTGGTTTCAGGAAACAACACACCACAACGACTGCGTCACTGAAGGTTCTTAATGACAATGTTGAAGCACTGGATGCTAAGGATTATTGTGCTGCACTTTTCTTAGACCTGTCTAAAGCTTTTGACACTGTGGATCATAACATCTTGTGTCATAAGCTCTCAGAAATCAGTTTCTCAGAACACACCATTGGTTGGTTCTCTATCTATCAGATCAGAGGAAATGTGTTCAACATAATGATACTTCCTCCAGTTATTTAACAGTCAACAATGGTGTACCTCAAGGCTCAGTCTTATGACCCACCCTCTTTACAATCTACATAGGTAATGCAGGTCAAAACACCCCTGATGTATCCATACATTTTTATGCTGATGACACAGTTGTTTATTGTTGAGCTAAAACAGTTGATAAGGCTTTCCAGCTTTTGCAATCTGAATTTAACATTCTCCAGTATGATTTGTTCGACCTCAAACTTGTCCTAAATGCTGACAAAACCAAAGGGATACTTTGTTCAAATAGGAAGTCAGTCCCAGCAGTTCTTCCTCAGATTTTATCCTCAAATCGTGTCCCGATTGAGTTTGATGATTCCTATAAATATTTGAGTATCTTGGTAGACTCGCATCTCTCTTTTCAGCGCCATGTGGATCACCTAGTAAAGAAACTGAAAGTTAATCTGGGTTTCTTTTTCAGAAACAGATCCTGTTTAACTCTGAATGCTAGGAAACACCTTGTATCTGTGACTTTCCTTCCCTCCATTGATTACGGTGACATTATTTACATGAATGCTCTTACAAGAACCCTGCTGATGTTGGATGCCGTCTATCATGGCGCACTAAAATTTCATAACTGGCTGTGATTATCGTACCCACCACTGCACCCTGTATTCACTTGTTAACTGGACATCATTAACTTCACGCAGACTTTCTCACTGGTACATTTTCATCTTTAAATCACTTCTCGGTCTGCTGCCTTTATACATCTCCTACATGTCTCTGCGTGAGTGCAGCTACAGCGTGCACACTCAGGACATCATTACCTGCAGTGTTCCCTCAGTGCGGACTGAACTAGGCAAAAGGGCCTTCTCGTACTCAGTTCCTGTTTCCTGGAATATCTTACAAAAAGACCTGAAGCTCTCAATCTTGACCTCTCTAAGTGGCTTTAACAATCTGTTGGACTCCCGACAAGGACTAATACAGACATGTTCCTGTCGTTTTCTACATTCGTCTTATAATCTAGCTGTTTTTGTTACTCTTTTTGCCATCTTATTAGTAAAAGTAAAAAATATCTGTATGTCTTTTTATATTTGTCTATTGT